ATTATTTAAATGTAACAATAAAGTATCATAATGATTAAAATAATTTTATTTATTTAATTTTTCGTGATTGAAAAGAGACATTTCTTATGGTAATAAAAAACTACAAAATGATCAATTATAAAGATTATTTTAAACTATGATTGTGGTGCGAGCTACTTATGACGTGATTGTCAAGGTAATGTCTGGCAGCAGAAGATGGGGGAAGATCAAGAAAGGAAGAGTTAGAAAACAATGAAATTTGTATGAAACGCATGAATAGTGACAATGGATTGATGTTTTGCAACAGGAACAGTCCAGTTCAATATGATGGACTGATATTTTGCAAATGAACGATTTACGATATGGTTTTCCAATTTTACTGAGTAACTCTGTAATTTTCGTTAAATACAATTCGGTTGCCCCACCTGTGTTCACCTTCACTACATGATGACAATGTTTTAAGACGTTAATTTAGATAATCTTTGAAACTTTATCTAGGAATTAGGTAATTTTGCCTTAATGAATTGAATTACTTTTTCTGGTTAGAGTTTTCTTTAGCGGCTTAGTTTTCTTTCGGGATGAGGTCGCTAACCCTATCTATGTTCAGGCCTCCTCCTTTATCAAAGCTTTGAACCGGCAGAAGCCCTAGAAGGGCTACAGGCGGACTGGATAGGACAAGCGTTCAGGAAAGCACCCAAAAAAGCATCGTCACCCTCACTTAGAATCCTCAGAAGCAGAGGAAAAGAGGAAGATAAAAAAACACACTACACCGATAAATGGAGACTGACATGGGCGGAATGAAGAACAGTTGGATAGAACTAGAAAAAAATTCTCAGGACAAAGTAGGTTGGAGAATGCTGGTTGGCGGCCTATGCTCCACTTGGGGTAAGAGGTGAAAGTAATTAAGTAAGTACAACAGTCATTTGAATAATTATTTAGTATTTAATTAATTCCTATACTACTAGTGTTATGTTATGCTATTATATAAATCTTTCCTTCAATGTCCGTATACTGTGCGATGGCGGCTTTAAGGAACCAAATTTGGATTCAGTTAGATGAGTTTCTTTATGCGATTGTTCACGCAGACATCCATGAGAATATAAAGAGTGTAAGCTGGAAATAGATTGGATCCAGCATGATTGCGTTGCTGCACGTTAGTTCGCTCTTTCGTATCCATTTAGCGCCAGTCGATATTGAGGGAATATCCTAGAATCCGCTCATGTAAGATAACTATAAGTATACTAAAGTCTTTTTCATTTAGATCTTCTGTCTTCCATCTAACCTTATTATTGGAATATAATCTATTTCCTGTTCGACCGTGTTCTGATTTGGGAGAAGGTCACGAGTGAATCAGTGTCCGAGAATACTAAGTATTAGGAATAGCTGGATTGTAATAAAGAGATAATTATAACAAAGAGTAAATGCGAAGCGCAGCGGGCAAATTAGGAAACAACAATAAGCTAGACGTGCAATCAGCAAAGTAAGCGATGCACACAGACACTTAAATTAAAAACAACCAAGATATAACCGAATGGTTGACAAGGTCAAAAGACTTGTGAGTAACGCGAGAAGAATGGATCAATTAATTTGTCCTAAGGCTGTGTGACATGCCATGTAAGCCGCGATGCATTAGTACACACTACAAGTTACATAAAATGGCCTATCCATCAAACTAATATCTATATCAAAGTATCTATTAAATAAATTTACTCTTAGATAATAGTAGTACTAAACAGGAAGTTTACTAGTTTCATAGTTCTTTTTTTCAGAAAAAAAGCTTTAATAAACAGATCGAATATATATCTATGTAATGCATTCTTTTCATATACTGTGTTTATCATCTTGTATCTTAGCATAAAGAATAATGATAATAACTTCTGATTTTATATATATTTTCGGTTTAGTAAGTTGATAAAAATATCCTGATAATTAGAATCGATTTACATTGATAATATATATGCATTAAGGAAGGTTGTATTGACTGATGCCTAGTAATCAATATGAAATACATTCCATTGGTCACATGTTTCACTTATTTTAGTCGTTATCAGCTGTTAGCATATACCCAGTAAAGTGTACGTTTAATTTTGAAATTGTGTTTGAAAATCTCATACAACCTAACTGCTTGATAAATTTAAACTAAGCTTGAATAACAAACAACATTGACAAAATAAAATGGATGCAGTTTGTTTAATGGCTTTTCATCGGACACAAAGAGACTAAAGCAAAAGCTTATTGGATTGGAAGTGTCTTTAACTAATTACATTAACCAAAGAGAGTAAAATTAAAGGTAGGTTGTTTGATACATTCTTGAAGCTCAGTTGGTTTCTCTGTTGTTGGGGATGTTAGATCCTCAAAACTTGCTTGGATTCTACGTTTGCCAGCATGAGCTGATTAGTCGATCTTGAGATTTCAATTCCCATCAGGGAAATCTATGACTGTGATTGGCTGCTGTGTATTTTAGTGTGCTATTTTCTTAACTGTCCCAAGGACGTTTCTATGATGAATAAATAAACGAGAGTTGCATGCTTGATTGTACTGTGATTGCTGGGTGTTTGTAGAATATACTTTCTACGCTTACAAAACTTTTTTACTTTATTCAGGGATTCAAGGTAGCCTACCTGGAAGCTGGTAAAAGTCTCGTTCGCGTTTGTCGACTAAGGTAAACTCGTAATAGCCTCAAGCATACTTAGTAACGAACCCAATATCTGTACAACATCAAATGTCTGTTAAATCATTCAAATATAGCTCAGTAACTTTCTGACGTCACCTACAAGTACATTTGCGGATTCAAATATAGCAAATGGAAAAAGAAGGATTACTATCAAGTTTAAGTAATACATTCTCAACAAACTATTTCCGAAAGGTAGTAAAGTCTTGACAATTTCAATCGTCAGACATTTGATGCTTGGTGGACGCAAACTAAATATCAGTCATGCATTCAAAATAATTCCAAAACAGCCACCGTATGATAATTACAGCCAAATGATTCCGGCCTAACCTATGTCTACTCCTGTTTGTGATTGCATTCATGAGTTAACGTTCACAATCGAAGTCAAACCCGCCCTGAATTTCACTGGTAACCATCATCCATCTCTGTCTATTATTCTTGTGACTCAATGGCAATGTCGAAACAATCTGCAAAGAATGCACATATTCCAAAAGAGACTGATCAGTTCCAGTCCTATAAACTACTAAGAATATCCAAACAACCGAAGCGGATGTCTATACCATTCTCTGAAATTTCAAGTTGTCTGTAGATGATGAAAAGCTCTGTTTAAGTGTATTTTAGACTTTGTATAACAAGCTGATAATAGCAAACAAAAAGCAAAGTGAAATTCAACAATTAGTGAATGATTGTTATGCTTCATGTTTGACTGCACCGACTACAAATACTTTTAGCCAGTTATGTGAAGGAAAAGCGAATTGTCTATTTCTTGATGTGTTCAATCGATATCATATAGCCAGTAGTTTGGAAGTAGAATCATTCCATCTATTACCATTTTCTTTAGTATTTCACCACTCCTATTTCAATTTTATTTCGTAACTTTATGAGACTAGTCTAAGTGCAGCGAATTAGATAGAAAGTAATTGAAAGATGTCAGTAGGAAACGTTATTTGATCTAGATTTTGTGTTTTACTATCTGTCACTTTATAACTGAACTATTAAGGTTGACATCTTAAAGGTACTTGTAGTAGTTATTAAGTCAGTGGAGAGTGATCAATATCGTAATTATCTAGTCTTCTATGGTATCTACCTTTGTAGCATCTCATCATTCATTCATTCATTCATCGTACTCTCGTTTAAATTATTCGATAATTGTATTGACCATAATTTTGAATTTGTAATAATTCGATTACAGTATCGATTGTTGTATATTTGATCGTGTGTATGTGGATCCTTACTCGCTTATCACATGTCTAGCCTATGATTGCTTGACTATAAATACTACTTAGCCACTCTTCAGCTCATGGTGAGTTAGTTGGCTTACTCGCCTTCTCCAATTCGCTTCGTTTTGCTTGTAAGCTTTCCATTCTCATGTTTGTCTGCATAAATGAATGCATGAAATAAATTCATCCGCAACACCGTATTCGGCTTCTTACTGCCGCCGTCGCACAAACAGGGTTAGCCTAAGTATGCGATATACGAAAGTGGAAAGGAAGATTTATTTCATTGCACACTCGATCATTCGTTCACATTGAAGTCCAGTAGTGAGCCGCTAAACGTGCAACTGATATAAAGGTAAACACGCAGCCTTTCGTAGAATTGATCTTTAACGTCGTCATTGTAGTCATTGGTAGGTGCATAACATTGGATGACGTTCATTGTAATGTCTGCTTTCTTTGTTTTGAAGGATGCTTTGATGATCCTGGGTCCATGAGATTCCCATCCTATCAGTGCCTTTTGTGCATGTTTGGACAGCATCAATGCAACTCCTTGTGTATGTGAAGCGTTTTCCTCTTCATGACCAGAGTATAACAGCAGTTCCCCTGAAGTTAGTCTCAGTTGTCCTACTTGTGTCCAATGCGTTTCACTGATTCCAAGCACCTCGAGGTTGTATCTTTTCATTTCTGCCGCAACTTGAAATAGTCTTCCAGTCTCCCACAATGTACGAACGTTCCATGTACCTAAAAAAATGACTGCTCTGGTTGTCAGAAGAGGCATCAGCCACGTGACTTCCGAGGGAACTCGGCTTTCATCACGCGACGTCATAATTGTTCTTCCAAATCCCAGGGCAGAGTTGAAATGGTTTGAATAAGTTTTTCTGGTTAGCGTTTTTTTGGCAAGTTAGTTTTGGACGGAATGGGGTCGCCAACCCCATATCTAACCCCTCCTCCTTTACCTGGGCTTGGGACCGGCAGTAGACCCGAAGGTTCTACAGGCGGAGTTTTGTTTACAAATTAGTATGAACTAATTCAAAAAAACAAATATAAACTACTACAATAACTTAATTTAAATGATCAATAACATTCTGTTTACAATTTTACATACATCAATATATTATTTGAAGCATACTTACCATGCCATGAAACATAAAATTTGCCTTTTTTCGTTTTAGTATAATCACGTAGTTTCGAAATAAATTGATCATAAGTAATACGTTTAACAGATCCTTTAAAATTTAATTTTGTTATAATAAATTGTTCTATACAAATGAATGTAGGCAATGCAACACGAACTACAAGCATATTGATGATAATGATAATTATTATTATCGATAATGTATCAAATGATTGAAAACTTGTTCTTCTTAACTAAGCGACAACATTTGTAATATTGAATATTTTTATTTCACTGTTCGTATGTTGTTCAATCTAATGTATATATGTATATATATGTATATATATAATTTGTTTTAAATGTGTGCATCATTTCGACAAAGAAAAAAAGGTTGAAACAATCCAATCACTAACTTAATTAGGTAATAAATATCCAGTCATTCATAAGCTCATACGCTCATTTTCACTAACTAACTAACTAACTCACTCACTGGTTCATCATTGATTTGCTGCTAATTTTATAGGTGAATTCACATGAATATAAAATGTAATTATTGAAAGAGCGAAAAAAACAAACATACTACTGATTTGATGACAGCTCTCATTGGTATTGTATTTTTTTTTGAGAGAAAAAAAATTGTTTCACGACATGAGAAAAAGAGAGATGTGTAAATGATATTGCACCCTATCATATCATATTGTATTGATTAGAATTGTGGAAGGTAACAAGTAATAAAAATGTGTATTATTATTTAATTTTTATTGTTTCGCAAAGAAAGAAAATTATGTTTTATTTAAATTTTACCTTTTTTAATTTTAGAAAAAAACAAACATGAACTAGCCACAGGTATTACAAGTTACTACCACAAGTGTAGGATTGTGTATAAATATAACTTGTAAAATTGATCTTACTTTAGATTAGTTATTTACTTACTTACTTTCGCCTGTTACCCCCAATGGAGCATAGGCCGCCTACCAGTTTTATCTAACCAACTATGTCCTGGGCTTCCCTTTCCAGTTCTGTCCAGTGAGTGTTTATTCCTCTCATATCTTTCTCTATTTCTCGGCGTAGTGTGTTCCTTGGCCTTCCTCTTTTCCTTTTGCCTTCACGGTTCCATGTGAGGGCTTGTCTTGTAACGCAGTTAGGTGCTTTTCGTAATGTGTGTCCTATCCACTTCCACCACTTCTTCTTGATTTCCTCCTCCACTAGAATCTGGTTTGTTCTCTCCCACAGCAAGTTGTTGCTGATGGTGTCTGGCCAACGAATCCGAATTATTTTGCGTAGACGACTGTTAATAAACACTTGTATCTTCTGGATGATGGCTTTGGTAGTTCTCCATGTTTCCGCTCCATACAGTAGAACTGTCTTGACATTTGTATTGAAAATCCTTATTTTGCTTTTGGTTGTAAGGTGTTTGGATTTCCAGATATTTTTCAACTGTAGAAATGCAGCCCTTGCTTTGCCGATCCGCGCCCTGACATCTGCATCCGATCCACCTTGATTGTCGATGATGCTGCCCAGATATGTAAAGGTGTTAACGTCCTTCAAGGCATCTCCATCAAGATTGATTTGGCTGATGCATGTTGTGCTGTATCGTAGAATCTTACTTTTCCCTTTACCTATGTTGAGACCTATTGCTGCTGAGGCTGCTTCTGTTATTTATTTATTTCAATGTACTGAATACCAATAATTTAGATAGTCTAGAATAATTATTATAGTATGTCGGGGTTGTGGATGATATTAAATGACTTTGTTACCTCCCTATCACTAGTTGGCACAGACTTAAGAACTGCTGAAACCCTGAGAATGTTAGAGGAATGTTTTGTTCTAGTCTACAGTGATTAACTATTACGTAACATTTACTAATGAATCAAGAGTTTGATAAGATTTTGTCATGAGAATGACACTATTTGGATACTAATTTGAATTTTTTAGATGTATGTGATTGGTTGTTGAAAAGTGATTGTAATCCGAAAACATATTTTATAAGTTATCCCCATTCTTTCATTTTTGAAAGTGTTATAATTCTCTCTTTTTGCAACCCAGCTATTCCTGATGCTTAATATTCTCGAACATCAATTCACTCGAGACGTTCTACCAAATTAGAACACGATTGAACAGGAAATACACTAAATTCCAATAACAAGCTTTATGGAAGACAGAAGATCCAAAGGAAAGGACGTTAGTATATTTGTAGGTTTTACATGAGATGGTTACAGAATGTTCGCACAGTATCGTTGGAGCTGATTGTATACGAATGAGCCAATCAGCGCGCAGCGATGCAATCATGCTTTAGTCCAATCCATGTCCAGCTAAAAGAAAGTTTTGGGTGTCTACGTTATTAAGCTTCTATCACTGTCAATGTTAAAAAGGGATGCATGTCGACCGATAGAGAAAACGAAACAAAAACCATTGGGAAATCAGCTTCAAAGATAGGGACTTGTATTAAGTGATGGGATTATAAATTTGACGATATTGCCATTGATGTATTATTATCCCTTCATTACAAGTGACCAACTTATATCTTTCTTTCTTCGGAGCTGTTGTTTACAAAATCAATAGGGTAAACAAATAACATGCATACCTGTTGTTGTTCACTGACTACCATGGTACTGCATTTCCTAACGTTGCTATATGGATTAGGGTTTTGGGTGAATGTCTTGGGGAGTGCCTCCTTAAGGAAACTAATATACGTATATAAACTGAACAAACTAATACTGTGACTCATCACCGTTAATTCTATCATGTTTCTGCTTCTGTTTGATCATGTGTACATGAGTTATTCTAATTTTTGGATAGACCAATCAATTCATTCCTTATGAGTCAGCAATCACGCAGTTTTTGACTCTGTCGGTCATTTGCTAATAGCCTTAACTGTTTTTATATCAATGTATATGTGTTCGTTGCTGATACTATTCAGCATATGTCTTTAACTTATTTTTTTGCCAGATTAAAAATAGTGAACCACGCTTTGTTTGTTTGTTATTTCTTCCACTTATAATTCACTCACGTTTCCTCTCATTTCTTCTACTTCATCTGCATTATCGAATGTTAGAAACTAACGTTCCTAAAATGTCTTCCTATTCAACTTTCGATATCTACATTGAAGTAAATAGGAATTATATTTCATTAACATCAATGTTATATTATCAAATCGAGCTAGATCGTAGGCCAGCAAACTACATATGGAATTCCGTTTACAGAAGGCATATATCCTGTCTATAACTATTTGAAACCTTTTAAATGGTAACGTAATTAGGTGGATAGGAAACACTGTACGGAGATCACTTCGATGCATCATGAAGTAAGTCTTAATTTGGAATCCTCAAGACCATAGGAAAAATGGTAGACTGAGGAACACACTGCTTCGAGAATTGGAGACAGACATGAAAAGAATGAATAACAGTTGGGTAGAACTGGAAAGGAAGGCCTTAGCTGGAGAATGTCGATCGGCGGCCTATGCTCCATTCGGAGTACCAGGCGTAAGTGTGTAAGCGGTAGAATAAACACAAATATTTATTTGTGAATTTTTTTACTGATTCAATGAAAAAATTTAGATGTTCAGAAGTTTTTAATTCCAAATCTGATAGTCAAAACACAATACCTCCTTGTGATTGCTCCTATCTTTCAAACTGACTTTATTAAATTCGCTAGCACGTGACTATTGAGTCGTTCAGGCTTCCGAATCACTTCACTCGTTTCATAGGAAGGTTTGACCTTTAGTAGTACATAAACCACTTATTTTCATTACATTACGATTCAATACATATATGTTTAAAGTGCGATCGTGTGTTTTTCTGTTCACTTATTATTGTTACCAATGACTGTCTACTTTTCAAACGTACTCATTATTTATTTTGAATTATATTAACATTTGTAATAAGTAGTATTTTAAATAGGCGAGTTTATCTGCTTCGTTGTTTATCAAAGGGCTTAGTCGAGAGAGTAACAGTAGTAACCTCACAGTTCTAACAATGAATATATTGAATAATAAGGATGTATAGAAGTATTTTAGCTAACAGCGACTGAATCATTGTGATTTTTTTTCGTGATATGCGAAACCTGATCTTAAAAAAAGACGAAATTAATATCGTATCAAAAATATACAACATAATAGACTACAATGTTTTTGTAACACCCAGATCTTATGCAATTATTTCATGTTATCTGTAGGTTGGTAGATAATGAAGTGATATTTTTATTAATTCTAAGAAAGAATAAAAGCTGCAAACTGATAAGACTTTGATCTACATATTTTTCGTTTTATGTGATAAGTTATTTTAGTTATTTGAGAAAATTAATCGAAAAATTGATGCTGAATTACGAATAATTAGTTGACAGGAATCCGGTAATTCTTCACCTAATTAAATTTAGTAAGAAGAGTTTGACATCGACTGTACCTATAGTCAACCTTGATATAATTAGTTAACATAATTGTGTTTAAATTACATTACGACCATACAGTCATAATTTTTGTAATTACTTCACACTACTTATTAGTAGTTTCAGAGATTTTATCGAAAAGTCTTGCTGTTTTCTCCATGACAATTATCCTAGGAAGCATTTATCACTGGAGATTATCGCTCTACATTGAAATCACTAATCGGTAATTATTAGACCATCATTATACACCTGGAAGGATTTCGTCCTAGTATAGGACTTTAGCACTGCGCATCCACGATCTTAACTAGCGGGAATCGAACCGAAGACCCTATAGGGGGTTGGCAGTAACTAGCGAAGACAATGGATGTGGCTACGCATATCGCTACATTGATTAGAGTTAGACATTAACACCAGTGGATGCTAGCCCAGTGGTCTAAATGTGCTGACGCGCCAGACCGAAATTTATGGGTTCAAGCCCCGCAAGCGGGGGTCGTGGATGCATACTGCTAATGAGTCCCATACTATGACGAAATGGCCGTCCAGGTTTCTGATGATGTTTTAGCAACGAATGATTCACATGAGAGTGAAACATCAATCATTATTGATTTCATACATCCTAACCCTTATATAAGTTGAAATACAACAAATATTTCACGGAAACATGAATTCATTTTATTTCAAGGCCTTGTATCAACTGTTAGAGTATGCAATCAATGATCAGTCTTCATACTTAAGTACTTTTTATTCCTAAACATTAACATTATCAACACATAGTCGTTCGGTTTTTACTGTCATCATCTGGTAATTCTTTTATTTTATATTTAAATGAATTACCTGATAAAAATCAAACTGACAATTTTACTTTTCATGCATTTTATTTCATAGTTCATAAAAGTGTTCTATTAAAAAGAATGTTTGCGTATAAAACTTCACTTTCATCATTGATAAATGAATATTATGTCTTTGAAAAATGTTGTAATCAACTTATTTCAATAATGGATTTCATATGAAATGCTTCAATATATAATTTACAACATCAGCCTACGTTACTTTAAATAAGTAACCTAAGGAATTTCATGAATGTAAGTAGATATTTTTTTACTGAGAAAAAAAATATTTGTAATTCAATGTTAAATTTTCAGCATATTCTTGTACGTTACATAGGATAATTATATTTGTTGAAGAAATTTTTAAAATGAATAACTGTGAAAGTTATTACAGAAAAATGTTTTATTTATTTTTGTTTGTAAAGAAGTATGTGCTTTCAAATCGTAATTGATTGTTTTATTCTTAGAATTTGTGTCTAGCAGGAAATTTTCAGTTTGTAGATTGTGTATATGATGAAGTGACATTTGGCAGATTACAATTGAACACCATGGAACATTGGTCAGCTGTTTCATCTGTACAGAGTACACCTTGTGTTTATTGATTTTTCCAGCGAACATCAATTAAACTATAGTTTAAACAATCCTCAGTCGTTATATTTCAAATATTTTACTGAAGTTGATATACTAAGTGAACTAGTTTGATGGGTAAAACAGTGAAATTATTTAAACAAATGACGTTATTTCACAAACTGTGTTTACATGAAGTGACTTCATATCACAAAATTTCAATTGTTAGCCTAAAGTACTTGGTCTATCAAGTATTTCAGTGTTGATAGTTGTAAACTACTTGGTTAGGGTATAGCACTGCATTTGTTTAAATTAATCGATAATAGTATCGACCATTTTTTATATTTGTAATAATCCGTTAATAGTATCATTTATTGTATATTTGGTTATGTATATGCATGTTAACTCGCATATTACATGTTTAGCCTCTTATTGCCTGACTATAAAATACTTAGTCATGCTTCATTGCATAAGAGTTGGCTCATTTGACTTCTCCACTTCACTTCGCATTGTTTGTATGGATCTCATGCTCATCTGTCTGCTTAAATGAATGCATGAAATAAATTCATCCACAAAACTGTATTTGGCTTCTTGTTACCGCTATCGCAAAAACGAGGTTTTCCCAAATATGATATACGTAAATGGAAAGGAAGACTTTCATCAAATACTTGACAGTTAACAGCGCCTAGAACCACTCTACGGTTACTGCTGGTCCCAAGCCAAGATAAAGAAGGAGGGTTGGAAATCCATTTCGCTAAAAAACGCGAACCAGGAAAATAATTTGCTGATCAGTGGCCTATGCTCTATTAAGCGTAACAGGCATAAGTAAGGAAATGTGTATACTCGATCATTCGGGCGATTAAATTGGTGAGCCGTACTTCGAATTCTACTCAGCCACCAAATAGGTCCAGACGATTCCGTATTCGACATTTGGAAACTTCTTATCTTTCCCTAGATTTTGAGTTTTACCCCGGAAAAAAGAGTTTTTATCCCATACTGAAAATATTTTTTTATTTCAGAACAAAATGTCTTTTGTTTAATCGTTTTCTATTATCAGTATAACTGTTATTATTTTTAATACTCTGTCATTTGTCATGATAATTTCTGTTTTTTATGTTGCTATAATCTATCAACAAATATATTATTACTAAATATCTATACTGGATTCAATGTTACTTATCACTAACTTGTATAAATAAGCTTATAATTGAAATCATACTTCGTCTAGAGATAAAAAGAATCAATCAAATTCTTCAAAGCAATTACAAATTAGATTCTTTTTTTTTCGAATTGAGATCAATTTGATAATGAAAATATTTCAATGCAACAAAGCAAATTAACGACTCTTTCATACTAGCAAAAAGCAAAAGTCATTTGGTTTCAACAATGTTATATTGAAATGATTCTCATGATTTATTTTCCCTTTTTTTTATTATTATTATTATTTTGATCCTAATTACAATGAACTCTATGTAAAATACGAAAGCGAAATATATATTTGAAAGTAAACATCATTAACATAGATGGAAATGTTTTTACTACCAATCACAGTACTACTACTAATAGTAGTATCTTTTAACAAGATAAAATTTAAACACACTGGTTCATCACTAATAAGCACAGAAATGAAGAGAAATTTATTGTATCGATTTTTTAGTTTTTTTAGTATCAGTATGATAAATGGAAATAGTGAATACATATCTATCTATCTATCTATCGAAATATATATAAATCACAGTTGTAGTGTCTAATAGGTTCGATGCTACTCTGTTTTAAAAATTGAATCAATCAACATGATAGATAATCAAGACATAGGTATTAAAAAGATCATGAAAAATGAACAAGATACTATAAAAAAAAAGATAGACAAAGATAGATAAATTCAATTACAATAAGATATTTTGAAATGAAAAGTTGTTTTTTTTTTCTTTCTTTACAACTAAACTGATTGATACCTATCACAGAAAAAGAGAATTTTGATTTTAAAAAATAAACGAAGTACGAAGAAATGAAAAGGTATTCACAAGATTTAACTCACCAATAAATACATAATTGTGCTTATTTTTATCAGTATTCATTGGAAGTTATTGGATAGTACGTTTAATATTTGAAATAATTTAGAATTATTTTCAAGATTTTTTTTCCTCAACCCTATCGATCAATGAGAAAAGAAAATGTACAGATTTTTGGAAGTGGTTGATTGCATTTGAACATGGATGCCAAAAGATACAAAAATAAGGGGACCGATTATGCAATACACAAGCAAATCAATAAATCAAAGAATTGAACCGATTATTGTGAATAGATAGATAGATGGATGCAATGACATTTTTTCTTTATCTGAATCAATAAAAGTTTAGCCGTTTGTTTTTTTCTCTTCGGAAGAAAAAAAATAATCACTGAAACGTATAAAATGACAATAAATACACTTGTCAATAAAAGAAAATCAAAATACTTGTATAGGAAATTGTAGAGTAGGGGGAAATGTACAAGCAAGAAACCAAACAATGAAGAACAATCAACAGGGTACATACATTTGATTTGTTGACAATCAAGTAAACAGTTGTTGAAACAATAAAAAAAAATAAAATTATAATGAACATGTCGTTTTGTTTTCTAATTTATGAGATAAAAATATTGATTATGTATTGCAAAAATCCTAAAACATCATTATGAAGAGCGTGAAAAGAGATGGAGAGATAGAGAGAGAGAGTAGTGAGTAAATCTACCTGATAGGAATGTGCATCAATATACACGTTTACATTTACAATATCATCTGATTAAAAAATATAATTGATTAGAGATTGCCTTGTTATTTATGATTTTTTTTTAGAAAAAAAAAGAAATTAAAAATCAACAGTATGAAATATTTTTTCTTAATCACAATAATGTAATATTAAGATTGGAGAGAACAGAAAATTTTACAATCTATTCACTTACAGTGCACACATTATTGTAATTCATAATTGACCAGATTTGTTTCATATAATGCTTCGTATAAATCATTTAATAAATTTTCATAATCATTTTTATCTAATGCAGCTATAATAATTACTTGTTCTGGTTGTGGATTACTATGATTATTATTATTGACAGATTGTTGACTGACTGATGATTTCTGTGTTGTTTGTAATTTGGGAAATCGCCAAAATTCTATTCCATAACGATACACTGTAACATAATCAAATGTACACAGATTTTTTAACAATTAGGAATTTAAAAAAAATTTTCGTTGAACAAAAAGATTAGAGTGTTGAAAAAAATTACTTGCTTTTATGGGCAGTTCATGCAGTGTTACACATAATAAATTTCCATTATAGGGTTGTGGAGATTGTTAGGTTACTTTGAGATCATGAATCAGTCAGTCAGTCAGTCATTTGCAACGTAGAACTTCGTATGTATGTACATAAGTTCATGGTGCCATACCACATTAGCACAAAGATGCAAATGTCAAATAAAATCCCATAGTGATATAGATAGTAGAGGTATTAATGGTTATGAAGAAGATTAGGGTTCGAAGATATTATTCAAGAAGTATAACTCAGTGAGATAAGTTTAGAAAGACAAAGGTAGAGGTGCTGACAATTCCAGAAGATTAGGTTTTGAGAGAGCTCAAAGAATGAATGTACTTGCGTTATTGCAAACGATTTTGAGCCATGTCGTTCAAGGTCTCTAACCGTTGGAGACTTTCGTCTCGCGGACCCCAACCAGGTAGTCTACATCTACCAACATGACTCAGTCCACTAGTCAGTGACTTCATGGATTTCTGCCATGTTTTGGTCTGGCCGCCTCTAGATTTCTTCCAACCTACTCCTACACCACAAAACATAGCTCGTCAAGTCAGTCGGTGGTCCAGGAACACGACCTAAAAGCGGCATTTGACTCAGTGGATCGTGAGGTTCTGTGGCATGAGTCGATCAATATCAAACCATCATTAACAATCTAGAACCACAGGATGTCCGTTTTGTCCTGTGGTCTAGAGGATAGACATTCCCCGCGTAAGACCAATGATCCTTGGTTCGCTTCTCGCTAACAATTGTCGCGGATACACACTGCTGCTGAGTCGCTTACCAGGACAAAACAGCCTTTCTCTGCTTCCAGGTTTCTGATGGTAGTCTAAAATTGATCGATTCTTGATTTCAACGTGAGAAATTGTACTAATTAGTGAGTGAACTATATGTTTCTTTGGGTCATTGACTTCAACTAATGGCATTGAAATGTTACATATGTTAGCAGCATACAAGTAAGTAAATAAAGAACTTATTTTTAGTTTTATTTATTGTATACTAAGAACTATCTCAAGGTTATTAGACTACAGATGTTTTGTATCATTTTAAAAGTTGTATTATATATATAGACTTGTATTTTCTAATATAATGAAGTAAGCTAATTGTTAAACTGAGATATATGAATGTGAGAGATGTAAACTTTCTAATTAATTGATTTTGTTGTGTAAGTAAGTAATGCATACTTGATTCATGTTCTTTTCAATATTGATTTTCTCGTCAGATTGTATTTCATTTCATTGTAGTTATTCTGCTTTACACAATACCTAAATTATGGTTAATTAATTATGAATGTAGCTTAGAAATTTGTCTGTTTTTTTATCACATATAACTTAGTTATATATAACTTTTGAAACTTTATTCATGGTATCATGTGGTGATCGTAATTTTGCGTAAGTAAAACTGTGTTTTTGAGTAAGGATAACAATTACAAAACAATATTCTATCTTCATACTTCATAATCGGACACTGGACAGATATAGAAAGTTCTCAGATTAACAAGTGTTAAGATTACTTGTTCATTGAGTATTGATGAAATGCTGATTGTGTTGGGGATGTCAGATCCCCCAAAATCGCTTGATAAATATCTTTATTTTGGTTCTATTTCAAGGACCGATCAGTTGACCTTGAGATCATATTTCCTACCAGAAGTATCCTTGGTTGTGATTGGTTTATGTGTTATTTTAGTGTGCTATTTTTGTGACTGTCCTAAGGACGTCTCTATGAAGTATAAATAAACGCAATTTGAGTGCTTGGATTCATTGTGTGCTTGCTGGGTGTTTGTAGAATACACTTTCTACACTATATCAAGACTTCTTGCTGGTACAATTGGGACAGTAGGATCACAGTAACGTACCTGAACGCTGGTTCATTGTTTTGTTCTCGTTATTCAACTAAAGTGAACCCGTAATAGTTTTTAAGCATACCTAGAGTCGAGCACAACACTTAGCACTCGTTTGCCGACTAAGGTAAACCCGTAACAGTTTTAAGCATAACCAGTGACGAGCATAACAAAGTGTTAGTTTGACAGATATATAAGGTGAACTAGTCATTAGTGGACCTAATTAATGGGATACTAATAAGGTAGTTTAAACTTGTAACATTACTAATTTTAGTACTTCTCTTTGATCATCTGAAAATTAGCTTTACTGAAAAAAGTGTTTTTGTTTGGAATAACTGTTCATAAACACCGATAAACATGAGAAATCATACTCATTAAATTTGTAGCTTTTTAAATGAACTCTTGTTATCACACAAAAAAAACGAAGAAACAAACGAGACAAACTATTACTACTACTATTAATTAGCAAAAGAATAATATCTTCACATATCATGACGTCTATTGCAGATTATAATAATTATAGCAACCAATTCTTTTTTTTTTCAAAATGAATTAAAACATACACTACTTGTTACGTACGTCAATGATTCTTATGATTGTATCAATGAACTAACTATATATTGTTGTAACAGGATAAGTTTAGAAACGTTAGTACAGTTGGAATGATATTTTTAGGATTATTACTATTATTATTTTCATTACATAGTTGTTCGATTACTATCTTATTATTTAATTCATATTTTCTGCTTATTGTAAGAGTTTCCAGTAGACCTTAATTAGTGTTTTGCTGATTTAGGTACCATCTATTTCGTTCTCTGTCAGTTGTGGCATGATTATTTTTTAGAGTACTTACTTACTTACTTACGCCTGTTATCCCCAATGGAGCATAGGCCGCCCAACAGTTTTCGCCAGCCTACTCTGTCCTGGACTTCCTTCTCCAGTTCTGTCCAATGTTTGTTCATTCTTCTCATATCTTTCTCTACTTCTCGGCGTAATGTGTTCCTTGGCATTCCTCTTTTCCTTTCGCCTTCAGGGTTCCATGTAAAGGCTTGTCTTGTGACGCAGTTAGGTGCTTTTCGTAGTGTGTGTCCTATCCACCAAATCCACCGCTTCTTCCTCATTTCCTCCTCCCCTCGAATCTGGTTTGTTCTCTCCCAAAGTAAGTTGTTGCTAATGGTATCTGGCCAACGAATACGAAGTATTTTGCGTAGACAACTGTTAATAAACACTTGTATCTTCTGGATGATGCCTTTCGTAGTTCTCCAAGTTTCCGCTCCATACAGTAGAACTGTCTGGACATTTGTATTGAAAATCGTGATTTTGGTTTTGGTTGAAAGTTGTTTTGAGTTCCAGATATTTTTCAACTGTAGAAATGCAGCCCTTGCTTTGCCAATCCGTGCCCTCACATCTGCATCGGATCCACCTTGGTTGTCGGTGATGCTGCCAAGATATGTAAAGGTTTTAACTTCCTCCAAGGCATCTCCATCAAGAGTGATTTGGTTGGTGCATGTTGTGTTGCATCGGAGAATTTTGCTTTTCCTTTATGTATGTTGAGACCTACTGCTGCAGAGGCTGCTGCTACACTGGTCGTCTTCTCTTGCATTTGTTGTTGCGTGTGCTCTCTGTCAGTTATGGCATGATTATTTTTTAGAGTACGATCTCTCACTTTTTTTTGCTGTACGGACTGATAATTGGTGTAAATGAGTTATTAAATATACAAGATAGTGGTAGTAGAGTCTCTGCCAGTGACATTTCTTCGAATTCAAGTCTTTTGATAAAGTGTAGCTTTTGGAGAGACAAACCAACGGAGGCGTCGTTTACACTGACTCACTATTAGAATCGAAGGTTTAATGGGCCATGTTCGAGACATTTGGTTATTAACAAAATAAACGCAATGTATTTCATCATAACACCTTTTACTTTACAATGCAAAACTCAATTAAATACTATAAACATTGTGAAAAGTCAATTTCTTCTCACTTACCATCAGTTTTAAAAAGTCGAATTTTACATTGATTTAATGAAAAAGCATACAAAACAGTAAGACGTGTTTTATAAGATGGGTTTAGAGTGGAATTTGTTAATTTTCGACTAGAAAATTCATTTTTCGATCGACTTCTTCGTTTACTTCCTTCTCTAGAGATTATTGGTACACAACCAACAGTTGGTTCTAGCATACATGTGAGTTTATTGGTTTCATTATTGATTATTTTAAATTTTTTCCGATTACCATCCACATAGAATAAATCTAATGGTGGACGAATAAAATTATCATCATCAGCATCAGCATCCGCAGCAGCAGTATCATTATCGTTGTATTGTCCCAAGGATAATTTAGATTGTTTCTGTTTGGATTTGTCAAAAATTAATTTTCTACCAGAATTACGTTTTGATATAGTATTACTACTACTACTACTAGTATCTTTGGCAATAATAATTAAATCATTAAATACAAACATATGTCGTAGAATATTGGTTTCTTTATGTGTTAATTGATTTTGATGAATCTGTGAAAGGAAAAAAATCGATAAAATCAATCAATCAATAAATAAATCTGTAAACAAATAGAAAATGATGAGGATTATTGATTATTGTGTGAGTTATTGAGCTTCTGATGAAGCTGACAAATTTAAAGTTTGGAAGACTATTTCAATAAGTGTGTAATACTTTGAAAAATTGATTAGGTCAAAAGGTTGAACGACACTTTGTTGTGTTCTTACACATTTGAAATCATCAATCAATGATTGTTAGACCACCATTAGAAACCTGGAAGCACTGAACGGCTGTTTCGTCCTGGTATGGGACTCCTCAGCAGTGCGCATCCACGACTCCTGCTCCTCGCAGGATTCGAACCCGGGACCTTCGATATTGTGCGCGAACGCCTAACCATCGGACCACTGGGTCAGCATCCATCAGTGGTAATGTCTAATTCTGATTGATCTAGGGATTTTGCGTGAAATCACCCATTTATCTTTGGTAGTTACTGCCTACACTCGACAGGGTTGAACTCCAAAGTTGTACAACATCATGGATTGATGGAAGGAGGACAGTAAAAACACTGAATACCGACTCGATGGCCTAAGAATTAGGCATGCGCATGTGAGACCGGAAGGTCCTGGGTTCGAATCCTGCGAGACGCAGGAGTCGTGGATGCGCATTGTTGATAAGTCCCATACCAGGACTTGACGGCCATCCAGTGCTTCCGGGTTTCTAAAGGTGGTCTAACAATGATTGATTGATGATTTCAAATGTGTAAAAATAATAATCTCCGTAACTCTTATTGAAAAAATTCAATAATCAATTGAGTAATTGGATGAAAGAAGATCAATAAAAGGAATTCTTTGTAAAACAAAATTGCTAACAATCCCTTGATTATCTAATATTTAATAAGAAAAAAATGAAAAAATTGAGTTTGACAAGAAGTTAATTTTATACTAAGGTAAGATTACAGGAAATAAAGAAATTATGTAAAAAAAATTATTAATTTAAGCCATTTCATTATAATGTCAACTATGTAAATTAGAAAAATTTATCTGAAATTTTTTTGTTGTATAGTTTTTTTTGTTAAAAAAAACATACGTTTTAAAGTGAAGTTCATTTAAAAAACATTTTCATATCAATGGTCAAGATAAACAGGATGGTGATTGAACAAGCTAATTTTCAATATATGTAAGAGGTGAACTTTTGAAAGCATAAGGTGAATTTCATGAAATATAGTGAATATATATAATATAATATTAGTGTAGAATGGTTAGTAAAAATTCATTAAAATGAAACTTTTTTGTACTACTATTCAACTTTTTATTAAACTATATATAAATAGAATTTTCTTCATTTATAGTAGGTTTTTTTAAAAAAAATAAGATTTATCGGGAAATGTAGATTAATTGAAATCATGTTAGATCGTGAAAAAAAAATTAAAACCAACTAATTGTCGAAAAATAATGAAATAAAAATGAGAAAATAGTTAATAACATAGTGAATCTTTGAATTATGTTTTCTGGTTTTGCGGAAACTTGGAGAACTACGAAAGCCATCAACTAGAAGATACAAATATTCATTAACAGCTGCCTACGTAAAAATATTTCAGATCCGTTGGCCGGACACCATTAGCAACAACTCACTGTGAGAGAGTTCAAACTAGATCCCAGTGGAGGAGGAAATCAGGAATAAACGGTGGAAGTGGATAGGACACTCACTGAAGAAAGCACACAACTGCCTCACAAGACAAGCTCTCACTTGGAAGCCTCAAATAGAGGAAGGGCAAGAAACATATTAAGCCAACAAATGGAGAAAGATATGAGAGGAATGAACAAACATTGGATAGAACTGGAAAAGGATCCCAGGACAGAGGTGGTTGGAGAATACTGATCGGCGGCCTAATGCTCCATTGTGGGTAACAGGCGTAAGTAAGTAAGTAAGTAATAGTGAATCTTCTTTTCATCAAATTTATTTTTGTTAACAAAAGTTCACATAGTTTATTGATTGAATTAGTTTTAAAAACAAATTTTAATGATAATAAAAATGAATATAAAATTTATTTTATATTTCAGCGTATTTCGGAAAATTTATTAATAATAATAATAATAATAATAATAATAATAATATAAAAAAGGAATAATTCTTTTCAAATGAATTAAAAATATCACGAATAAGAAAGTATAGGTACATCTGTTGAATTAGTAAAACGTATAATTCGAATAATGATTGGTTTATTGAACGTTTAGGTTGGATAAAGGTAGAGAAAAAAATAATAAACCTGGTTGAATGTACTTTGTTTAGTTTAAACTATTGATTATGTTGTGGAAAGCTAATACAGCATAGTAGTAGGTAGTTATCATGTAGGTTTTTTCTGGCGATTTTTCAATTGTCGATTATTGATCAAACAATTATCGACTAAAAAGGTTCTCTAGGGGCAGCTTAATTCAATGTTTAAGGAGAAAGTTGTTTTTGAAACGTTTTCAGAGACATATTAGTTTTAGTTAGGAAATTTTATTTCCAAATATTGGAGAAAATCTGTAGCTTAGGTTGATGAATATGGTAGAACTTGGAACGTAGATACATCAGTTTAAGTTGCCATACCAGAGTAATGGTATTTTCAATTCAAATCCAATAGTAATAAAGATAGTAGCAGTATTAATGGTAATTGAAAAGATTAGGGGATTGAAGATATGATTTGAGAATCATAAGCCAGTGAAATAAATTTAAAAAGAGATAAAAAAAAGGTGTTAGGAATTCGGAAGATTAGAATTTTAGAGAAGACAAAGAATGAATGTATTTGCGCTACTGCAAACGATTTCGACTGATTTACTTGCTTACTTACTTACTTACTTACGCCTGTTACCCCCAATGGAACATAGGCCGCCCAACAGTATTCTCCAACCTACTCTGTCCTGGGCTTCCCTCTCCAGTTCTGTCCAATGTTTGTTCACTCTTCTCATATCTTTCTCTATTTCTCGGCGTAATGTGTTCCTTGGACTTCCTCTTCTCCTTTTGCCCTGAGGGTTCCATGTAAGGGCTTGTCCCGTGACGCTGTTAGGTGCTTTTCGAAGCGTGTGTCCTATCCACTTCCAACGCTTCTTCCTGATTTCCTCCTCCACTGGAATCTAGTTTGTTCTCTCACACAGTACGTTGTTGCTGATAGTGTGTGGTCAACGAATCCGAAGTATTTTGCGTAGACAACTGTTCATAAACACTTGTATCTTCTGGATGATGGCTTTGGTGTTTCTCGAAGTTTCCGCTCCATACAGTAGAACTGTCTTGACATTTGTATTGAAAATCCTGATTTCGGTTTTGGTTGGTTGTTGTGTGGAGTTCCAGATATTTTTCAACTGTAGAAATGCAGCACTTGCTTTGCCAATCCGCGCCCTCACATCTACATTGGATCAACCTGGGTTGTCGATGATGCTGCCCAGATATGTAAAGGTGTTAATGTCCTCCAAGGCATCTCCATTTAAAATCACTATCCACAACTGTCTCACTTGCCCCAACTGGGAAGTCTATACCTATTCACATGGCTCAGTCCAATTGCCAATGACTTGATGAACTGGTGTCATGTTTTGGTTTGACTACTAACAGCTTCCTTCCAGCCTACTCCTAAACTACACAGCTAATCTTGTTCAGAAGAATAATAAAAGTCCCATAAGCAAACTGTTCAGCTTAGAGAATGAAACTGCACCGTAACTTTAACTTTTAATGAGAAGGATAATCATTTTAAACTTAATTCATCGATATTCTCATTGGATTTAATTTACTGAAACGATCGTCAGTATTGTATACTAAGTTCACTATTGAATAATGTATCGCTATCAGTTTAGTTTGAATAAAATCACAAATCATTTCTCCAAAATAATTGATGCCAAGTTTTGAGTGTAAGATGGGAAATCTTAGTTTTTCAGAAAAAAGGGGAAATATACAGCTTTTCAAAAACAAAGATGCCGCTTTTCACTAAAGCAATCTTTTTTCAACTATCCCTATTTGAATACTTTGTATGTCGTACACTCAAATGACTTCTCCATGACTTTCAGATTACCCGATCTGTCAAAAGTGATGAAACATTGCAAGAAGCTATTGTCGCATTGCAGGTTCACATATACATGTATACACACTGCCTGATTATTATTCCTGAACTGTAAGATATATTTCACCTAGTACACATATTTAGCATGAGTATGAAATGTACTACTAGTATTCGAGTAACGTGTTCTATGCATGTATAACAACATATGGGAGTTATCATCATCATCATTGTTGTATACAACTGCATCTCTCTGTGCTAAAATGGTATGGCAACCTGAACTTATGTATGTACGTACGTACGAAGTTCTACGTTGTCACTGACTAACTGACTGATCTGATTTATCATAAATAGTTTATCGGGGAAAAAAAATACAAATAACAACTTACATGAATCACTGTACAATAACAAACTAATCGACGATGTGTTTCAACTAATTCAAATGGATTACTCATAAATAATGATGATTCATTGTAAACATGATTATTATTAGTAGTAGTGCTATCATCATCATTGAGAATTTTAATTTCATGTAAATTTTTTATTGCTTTTGATATATGCTGTACAATAGTTGTTTGATCTGGACCCGGTATTAATGATTTCATTTTAATACGATGAAATATTTCAGTTAAGATACGATTTGAATAGATCTGTTTAAGATGTATCAAATTGTTATTAGTTTTCTGATCATTATTCATGATTGATTCATTATGATTGAGGATTGATGACATATGACCATTTTCATTAGGCATTTCATCAGGAATATTTATCTTGGATTTAGTCATGAATGGAGATGATGGTGGTTGACTTAATAATAAATCTAGAGAAAATATCAAAAAAAGAAAAATTATAAAGATAAAGGATTTTAAATAAATTGAAAAGGACAAACTGTTCAAAAATGACATGAATTTATCAGATTTCAGTGGTTTTTATCAACTGTCAACTGTGGTGTATAGTTAGAACTAGTTACGTCATTATAAACTGAGTATTACATAACATAATGAATGAAAATCAAGTTGGAAGAGTTAACAACCTATCTAACGTAATTAAAATTGGTTAGTCTTTTGTTTTCTGTGTAAAAGATGAATTCATATACAACACAAGGGAATAAACAATCAATTGAAGTAAATTAATAACGACAGTGTTATGATCAAAGTATCTAATTGATATAAAATTCAAGTTAACATCGTAAATGAACATCATTCGGATTTCTTAAATATAAAGTTGTATACTTCCAAGTCCGTTGGCTAGACACAGTCAGTAACAACTTGCTGTAGGAAAGAACAAACCAGATTCCTGTGGAGGAGGGAATCATGATGAAATACTGTAGGTGGATAGGACACATTGAGGAAAGCACCCAACGGCGTCAAAAGACAATCCCTTACTTGGAACCCTCAAGGTCAAAGAACACATTACGCCGAGTAGAGGAGACAGACAATAGAAGAATGAACAAAAGTTGTACAGAACTGGAAAGGGAAGCAAAAGACAAGATAGGTTGGAGAATACTGTTCGTCGGTCTATACTTCATTAAAGTTAACAGGCGTAAGTAAGTAAGTATGCTTTCAAATATTTTTTGTGGGTGTAGAAGAAAATATTTCGATTATCAAAACTTTAAAATTTCATGCATAAAGAGATCTGTAACATGATCGATAGTTTCCACAAGGTCATGATGAAGAGGACTAACTGTAATCAAACTTAGATTGTGAAGGGTTTTTTGATGGTTACAACTAGTCACCTAAAATAATGAAGTATAATAAATTATAACAGTTGATATACTAAATCTTAAATAAGGTGTTAAAAGATGGTATCGCTGGATCGATGAAGTGCCATTAAGTTATAGTGAAGCCACTGATGAAACTTTCTACATTATTCAATAGATCAATGAATGTTGAGCAGTCTGGCGAATATCGTCAAGGTCAAAGATATCTGACGCATATCAAAAGCTGGCTCATGAAGTAGTGGCTCGACTAGATACTTCTTTAGTCCTGCTCTATAATTATTTTCTTGGGTAAGATTACGTCTACTCAATCAATAAAATAGATACACAATGACAAAGTAATTCAGGTAGGATTTTAACTATGGACCACACTATCATCGTCCAGCTTGAGTAGATCGGCCATCAACACAGAACGCTTGCAATGTTATTTCACACTGGTTATCTGAAACGTTTCCACTGTTCAATAAAAATGTAATATTCAGCACTTTTGGTTATCTTCAGTTTACTTAGTTGGTGACTACTACATACTATTGTGTATGAGCCGCCAAAACATTTTATTTCGAGCGTCTTCAGTGCTATGATCACGCTTGTATGAAGTAGATCAAAGTGCTGGATAAAAAATTTGAATAAAATAAACTTTCGGGGTTGAAAATCAAATCTTGACTAAAAAAATACTGTAGCATGCAGTAGTCATTTAATAAATAAATTGAAAAGTCTGAGATACAACAAAGTTACTGAGTTGTAAGAACGTTGAAAATAATATCGCTCAAATTAACCTATTTATAAATATTATTTTTAAGCAACCATGAATTATATCTACTGACCTGAGATATATTTATAGAATATACTTTTTGGAATGTCAGATAGATTTCCCTCATTGATTTTTAAGATAATTCAGTAGTGTCCATCATACCAAGTTTGAATAAAACGATATGACGACTGGATGTACAAAATAAATGTATCACTGTCATAAGTAATCGATTAATAACTGAACAAATAGAATATTGGTTACTACTGAGTGATCAAATTAAGTCTTGCAGAAAGTCAGTCACAGTGTGAATAACTTGGTGGTAACGTTTCAAACGCCTTAAAATGAATACGACATGAGCCATCAGTTCTTGTTGAGAGAGTAGCAAATAGCAGGAAATCAATGCTCAGGAGTCCCCCGTTGAACAATCATCTAGAATATTACTGAATAAAGCTAGTTCAATAAACAATTAGTCCTCGTAAGTAGCCTTATTCACAGTGATGAAGAGAGAATATTTTTTAACGACTATTTTTAGGAATATTCATCCAATATCCTAAGAGAATTATTAATCAATTCCTGTTGGTTAATTCTTACTGGTCAGTTTTATGGACGTCCTAGATATCCATGTAAAGCACTCCAATGTTGTTTCTTATTGGCCGTCCTAAATTTCAATGTCATTCCGAATCTTGTTTCCTATTGGTCGTATTAACTGTCAATGTCACAGACTTCGATGCTGTTTCCTATTAGACCTAAATATATAAATACGCATTATCTGTAACGTTTTATGACCAGGACCAGGACCCGGTCCCGGATCCCTAGTCCGGGATCCTGATTCTCTTTTGGATTCGGACCTCGTACTTTCTGATTGCTTGTAGAATACATGTTCTACTTCATACCAAGTCTTGTATTCTTTTACTAAATATGGGGGTTGGGATAATCGGATTTAATAGCATGTCGTGTCGCCGGATCCTTGATCCTCGCTCTCGTTTTCCGACTAGGTAAACTCGTAATAGTTCAAGCATATCAAGTTGACGTGTTTACGTGCAGGCGTAACAACTATGCACCATCTGTACAAAAACCAAGATCAATATCTATGTAAATAGTTTTATGATAATTACTTGTCCATTATCAAGTAAATACTGACCACCTATTGATTTTCTAAACAAACAAGAACTACATTCATTAAATAACATTTCAATGGTAATAAACTTAATTGTTAATTAAATTTCTGTTACAAAATGTTGCTTTATTACAACAATTCATTACTTTCCATAATATATGAAAAAAAACAACACATAATATTTCGATCATAAATTAGCTGGTATATAAAAATAAACATTGTACTGTTCATATTGTTCATTCTCACAATAAAATTTGTAAATGACTTAAATTAGATACAAAACGAAAAAAAAGGAGGAAACTATTGGCAAGTGAACAAATGTTTAAATTCTTTTTTTTTTCTATTTTAAACAAGGAAGTTTAATAGCTTTTAATGTACATTGATTAGAACTGGTTAACACTTAAATACAAGTTTTATTTATGATAACATTTAATTATCATATTAATTTATAAATTAAAACTCAATCAATTAAAAGGTAACAATTTAGAACTTTGTACGTACGTACATCCGTTCATGTTGGCATACCACATTAGCACAGAGAGATGAAATTGTCAATTCAAATCCCATAGTAGTAGATGTAGTAAAGGTCAGAGAGGTTAGGATCAGAAAATATTAGTCAAGAAGTAGAATCTAGTGAAATGAACTTAAAAAGATAAAGATAAAGTGATTAAGAAATAAAAAGTTTAGGGTTTGAGACAACACAAAGAATAAATGCACCGGCGCCATTGCAAACGGTTTTGACACATGTCTCTCAGCGTGTCCAACCATCGATTACAAACATCTCGCGGACCTCAACCAGGTAGTCGACACCTACCGACATCGTTCATTCCACTTGACAGTGACTACTCAGTTATAATAGAATTTATGCAAGTGTTTCAAAAAGTCGATGAAGTCGTTAAAATGCTATTTGTTCATTTTCATCTCATTAACTTAAACAAATAACTCCGACAGTAGAACCTTCGGGTCTACTGCCGGTCCGAAGCCCGGTTAAAGGAGTAGGGGTTGGACATGGGGTTGACGACCCCATTCCGTCCGAAACTAACTTGTCAAAAAAACGCTAACCAGAAAAACTAATTCAAACCATTTTAACTCTGACCTTGGAGTTGGAAGAAGAATTATGACGTCGCGTGATGAAAGCCGCAAAATATCTGGAACTCCAAACAACTATCAATCAACACCAAAATCAGGATTTTCAATACAAATGTCAAGACAGTTCTACTGTACGGAGCGGAAACTTCGAGAACTACCAAAGCCATCATCCAGAAGATACAAGTGTTTATTGACAGTTGTCTACGCAAAATACTTCGTATACGCTGGCCAGACACCATCAGCAACGACCTACTGTCAGTCAGTCAGTCAGATGCAACGTAGAACTTTGTACATAAGTACATCAGTTCATGTTGCCATACCACATCAGCACAGAGAGGTAATCGTCAATTCAAATCCAATAGTAGAAGAGGTAGTAAGGGAATTAGAAATAATCGGAGGTTAGATTAGAAGATACTATTCAAGAAGTATGATTCAGTGAGAAAAGTTTAGAGAGTCGAAACTAGAGGGGTTGAAGAATCCAGAAGATTAGCATTTGAGAGACACCAGAGAATAAATGCACCGGCGCC